ATAGCACAGAAGCAAATCGTTGAAATAGTAGGGAAAGTAGCATCAATACAAATACGAGTATGCGAAAGGAACAGCATGCATGTTGCTACATGTCGTGAAAATGATGAAAAAGAATATACGTAAATAAAATGAACAGTCAGATATAAATCATCAAAAATGCGAGATGTGATGAGGGGAAGGAGGTTTCATTTTCATCCATATTTTTCAGCTCAGAGAACCAAATTAATTTTCAATATTTCAGGTTATACAAGAAGGTCGCTTTACCTGCGTTTGCCCTAAGGGCTTCAAGGGCGATTACTGCGAAGTGAACATTGATGATTGTGAGAGAAATAAATGCCAAAATGGAGCAAGATGCATAGACATGGTAAATTCTCAATTATTTGCGCTTTGATGGACGTAAATTTCAAATTCAGATCAACTCCTACCGTTGTGAATGCGGGCCCATGTTTGGGGGCAAATACTGTGAAGAGAAGCTGGAATACTGTAGCAAAAGGCTGAATCCATGCGAGAATGGAGCAAAATGCCACCGAGTTGGGACTGATTATAGGTAAAAAAATTTTCGAAAGGTTTTTATTCGCAAAGCTTAGACAAGTTCTGATTCAGATGCGAATGCTTGCCAGGTTTTGTTGATCGTAATTGTTCCACAAATGTTGACGATTGCGATGGTCATCGATGCAAAAACGGTGGAATCTGTGTGGTAAGGTTTATCACAATGGAATCTCAAAGAATTTCAACCATCCAGGAGTAGAATATTGAGTCGGTCCGAAAGTTCGTTCCGTTATCAGCTCTATCCTTAAAACACTCAGAATAAGATAGACAAACACTCAAATAGCGTTTGATGCAAATCTTCCTGTTTCTAACAAAAGATCTTGGAGCAAAAAACTAAAACAAGGAAGAAATTCTGCATCAAACACTATTCAAAGTTTTATGTATCGCTAATTAAATAGTTTCAAAAAGTGATTTAGACAGGTCTAAAGAAGACACGGACTTTTGGACCGGTCTAGTAGCTTTCTAGGTCTAGCAAGCATTTATCAAAACTGCTGTAAAGTAAATGATTCTGTCTGAATTCCCTTCTAGTTTAAAAAGGAGGAACATGGTTACATGTTGCGACAATGCACTTGACAAATTACTTCCATAAATGGGTTACTTGAACAGTTTTGTACAAACGTTGACGACTCATCTAGATCCGATTTTCTGAAAAAAATTTTTCATGAAATTTGG